TTTACAGCGAGCGTCTGAGTCATGCTGAATCACCTGATATTTATAGATACAGTAGATGCATTGTAACACAAATACATTCATGTATACAAGTATGTGGAATCTTTACAGCTCAGCGGTCTTTGGTTTACATGACTCTGGCTTAAAATAAATATATGCATTACCACAACATATCACTTTTTGGTCTTTATTGCTTCAAAACAGCTTTAGTTTTTGTCCATTTATTTCAACTGCTCTGTCGAGGGCACTCAAAACTCTGAAATACGCCCTTTATACCAAAAGTATCAACGTCCAGTTATTTACTGATACTAAAACTACGGGTACTTTGGAAACTATTGCCTACATTGAGCAAATAACGATACAACAAAATATTTCAATGACAGGACAGATTTGGACTAGAAAGAGGGTACCGTTTATTATTGTACTCAATATTATTTTTTCAAAATTGTGAAGAAAAAAGACAATGGGCTCTATGCACGCACCACTTCCGGGTTTTAGCTACAACCCCACCTCACTTCCTGTTCGCGGGAAACAGCTTGAGTTTGAGTGGCCACAGTCAAAGCTCTACCTCAGAGAGAAACCACAGCGACGCTTTTGGGTCAGTCTCACAGCTGAATGTATCGATCTAATTACCAAAAAACTTTACTAAAACTCACCTAAAAGCCATAGCGATAGCATAGGCAGGAAGTGAACGGGCTGATCTGCGTTAACAGGAAATGACATCACGCCTTCCCATGCATATAGCCAATACGAAGAAATATTTGTGGGATGCCAGGTCACTACTTTGGAGTTTAAAGGGTTATAAAATACTGCTTTTAAAAATGAGCGTTATTGAATTATATATAGTATGAAGTCAATTCATAAGTATTGAAATGTATCTTTTGTCTGTTACCAAATACAAAACCACCTGGTAACTTCCCCCTTAAGTTATATGTGTTATGTATTTTTATTTAGGCAAGGCAAGGCAAGTTTATTTGTATAGCACAATTCATACACAAGGCAACTCAAAGTGCTGAACAAGTATAAATAATCACAGAACATTAAAACGAAAGATAAAAATATAAAATCCCTCTGTTGTATGCACAGCTAAACAGCACCGTTTTTAACCTGGTTTTAAACATTGTCAGAGAGGAGGCCTGTCTCACATCTTCAGGAAGATTGTTCCAGATTTTAGCAGCATGAATCTGAAAAGCAGCCTCCCCATGTTTAGTTCTGACTCTGGGCACTAACAGGAGTCCAGTCCCTGTGCTCCTCAGAGTCCGGGCTGGTTCATATGGGACTAACATGTCACTAATATATTTTGGTGCGAGGCCATGGAGAGACTTGTACACAAGCAGAGCTGTTTTAAAGTCTATTCTCTGAGCCACAGGAAGCCAGTGCAGAGACCTGAGGACTGGACTAATGTGGTCGTACTTCCTGGTTCTAGTCCGGCCTTGAGCTGCTGCATTTTGAATGTACTGCAGCTGTTTTAAAGCCTGTCTGGAGAGACCTGTGAGCAGGCCATTGCAGTAGTCTAACCTACTGGAGACAAATGCATGGATAAGAATCTCCAAGTCTGCTTTAGACACTATGTTTTTGATCCTGGCAATGTTTTTTAGATGGTAAAAAGCTGCTGATGTGGCTATTAAAATTTAAGTCTGAGTCCAGTATTACCCCTAGATTTCTGACCTTGTTTGAAGGTTTTAGGGAGAGAGACTGTAGATGACAGATGACGCTCTCTCTTTGTTTCTGGGGACCAAAGACAATCATTTCAGTTTTGTCTGCGTTTAGCTGAAGGAAGTTGTTTTGCATCCACTCACTGATCTGTTGGATACATTTATACCTAACTCTCTACTTAACACATTCACACTCTTTTTATTCATAGTCTCAGTTCCATTTAGTTCTGCAGAATCACTCCAACGCCACACGCACCGTGATTTAAAACATTACCCAAAATAAATGAATAATCATGACGTCCAGCTCCCTGCGGGCCACCGTAGGAAATCCAATCCTGAGTACAGCGCACTTTCTTTTACACTCTCCAACAATCAGCCCATTTTCCTCCATTTCTAATTCAGTTGGTTCTGCTCTCTGTTTTAGAGTTGAGTGAATGACCTGGGGACCTGAATGTTCATTATGGCCGTCTCTCCGTAGACACACACGCAGAGGAACCCAGTCGCCCTCTCCTCTGGCTCTCCTCTCTCAAATGGATTTTTCATGCAGAGTTGATGATCATTTATTTAGCTGGCGCGCGTTCCTTTCAGACATGTTTATAGCCGTGTCAGTGGAGATAGCCTTGGAATGAAGAAAGATGACACAAAGAGACATGTGTCAAACATTCCAAACAGGCATTAGCCTGGTTCTGTAACATAAATAATCTATATTTTTCATCAATAGCTTGTTTCGCTGCTGGAGGACTTACGTACTAGTGCAATTCGGGCGTTCTGCTCTCCCAAAATTCCATCCACTGAGCGGCGCTGTGATCAAAAAATGACACCGTTTGTTGCCCAGTTCACTTCCGGTTGATTTCATACAACGGCGAATATGGCTCACGAAAACAACAAGCAATTGACAGTGCCTGAATTGCGTGAAAGGTTGAAGCGAAAGGGTATTTGCAGTGTGGGAAAACGAAAGGAGGAATTGTTGTTGCTAGTTCAACGAGCGGATGGTGTTTATGAAGATTTAGAAGAAGATGACAGCGAGCAGAGTGAACGAAAACGGCTGTGTGTGCGAGTGACAGATGGTAACAATGAGAATGAAGTTCAGCTAAGAGGGAAGAATGTGAATTGGACGGATGATTTGCGCGATATGCCACTAGTTAGAGACGGGAATGTATTTGCATAATGTAAAATGACGAAAACACTCAACCATTTAGAGAAAATGCGCCGGGCAGAGAGAACCGGAAGTTGCGAAGGCAAGTGTTACCCATAATGCAACGCAAAATTCAGTCGCTCCCCCGCCCATCGGATGGAATTTTGGGAGAGCAGAACGCCCGAATTGAAGTGTTCATTTGCAAAAACAGATATCTCCGTTTTGGCTACAATAATCCACATATTTTCTTATTGGCAGTACATTTTAAAGGATTTGCTCGACAAGGGGTGAAACCTTATTTGTATGGCACTCAATTACACCTGGCTTTTCAAAAAACGACTAGTTAAAGGACAAATTGTAAGTTGTTCCAATATTTTTTCTAATGGCACTTGCAAATTAACTATTACATTTTATATAAAAGATTTGGCAATTCATCTGAAACAATATTATATTTTTGGATAATTTGATTGTATGCATTTCTGTCTTTTTCATGTATTTGTAATATTTCTAAGTTAATTGTGGTGGTGGTGGACCCCAGGAAAACTTGCTCGCTAGAAGATTTGGATTGGCCCTTGAGAATAATCATCTATTTTTAGAGAGGGTCCTTGATATAATCCAAATCCAACACTTGGTATATGGTGTATTAAGATTTTTATTTTTTTCAACTTGCTATATACTGCTACTTTTTATTAAAAATATAACTCGATCGCTCTAAAATGGTCATACAGAAAAAGGATTAGTTAGTCGTCCAGTTGTTTTTATTATTTGAAAAAAGGCTGTTTTTGAAAGAGACACACTTTCTAATGAAGGATTGACATTTTTAATTGGACACTTGACTTACCCACCTCTGTAGTACATGTGTTAAATGGTTTTTCAGCCCAGAAAAAACACATTTCCTTTCATAACACATGTTTAGAAACCTGTGAGAGCCATTGCCATTAGCCTATTATTCCTCAGCTCGAAGCAGGTGTGTGCACAGATGAAAAAGGTGCGGCTCACTGTTCCCTGCAGAGCGAAGAGTCCTGTGGGAGCTGCTTTCTTTCGGAGCCGGCCTCATTTGCAGTTTGTGTTTTGTGCTGATACAGTGTTTATGCTGTTGTGTGTCCTGCGGTGAATGACAATAATCCAAAGTACACATGCTACTAATCATGACTTGATGATAAATGATGTTAAAGCTGGAGTATCTAACTTTGAAACCGCAACAAATTAACTAATAATAATGATGATAATACTGTAGGGATTTTTTTGTGGACACTTAAAGACGCTTCACATGACAATATTAATTCACTCCACACGCGGTAGTGATACGCAACTACTGTAGCCGCAACAACCCTAGGGCAGACTGACAGAAGCGAGGCAACCAGTATGTGTCATTGGCCACACCAGACTCATACCAGGCAATGTGGGTGAAGTGTCTTGCCTAAGGACACAATAACAGTTTCTCCCATCACAGTGTCTAACAAGGCCCTGCCCTGCTGAGCTTCAGAGGTCTGGTAGGATCTGGCTTTAACATTCATGTGCTGGTGGTTTCAACTTTGTAAGAAACTTGTCTCCTTTCCCTCAAAACTGTTCGGTTTTCTCACTAGTTTTCACTAGTTAGGCATGTATTTTTGTCCCCTCTCGTGTTTTTAGATAAACTTTTTCAGAAAATCAGGCTCTCAGTATGTAAAAGAAAACATGTTGTCTATAAGCAAAAGCTTAATTGCCAGTTGCATGTTGTGTTTTGATGTATTCATAGCATTTTTTAGACCAGACCCTAACTCTCAGAGTTGTCATGTGTTACATATTCAGAAACATATATTTCTGAAACAAAACCAAATAAAAGTTACTCCAGCCATAGCTATGTGCAACACTTCTATAAAATCCCCAATTTGTCACTGCAGAAATTAATATTTGTGTCAATTGCATGCATGTTACCACTTAAATAAATAATGAAATCTTATGCAATCACGTTAGAGTTCCTGTAAAGTGAATATCTTTTCCACTATGGTCATTGATGAGGTTAAAGCCATGTCTTCATAACAACATCAGTAACCAGGACGATACTTATGTGTAATAACGTTCACACAAGACACACAAGACGTTTGTTGTTTCCTCCAAAATATTTGACTAAACTTTGCTTCATTGTTCATTGTTACTATGATATCACCCATCAGTTGCTGCTCGAATGGCAGACCGAAAGACAAGCCTTGGTCTGACTACTGCAGTTGTCTATGACGGGTCAGAACAGAGAGCAGATGGTTGGTGGTCTCTCTGGTCTAAAGTTGAGACATGAGGTGAACCACAAATTGCTAATATGTAAAAGAGCGTTGGTAAAATGGTTGAGCCGTTGTTATGGGTGCACATACCAGAGGTCTATAACGTCCATGTGCCAAGCATATTATCTGCATTCACAAATAATGTTTCGCCGTAAATGTTTGGTCACTTCAATAATTATATATAGATAATACATAAAATGCAAATAAAAAATCAGTAATTTTTAAAGTGAATTGTGAAATAGCAATATTCCATGCTGCATCCAAATAAGGCAAGAATAGCACGGTCATAATAAGTAATTAATGTTTATTTATATAGCACATTTTTGCAGACCAAGGTTACAATATTCCAAGTTTATATATTGTTCCAATCATACCACACACGGTGATGATGGAAGCGAGACGCCGAAACCCACGCTAACCCTCCAACCAACACCATCCATTCATTCTCTCATTTACATTCATACCTAATGTGCAACCTGCAGGGCGTGTTTTTAGTGGTAGGGGAAACTGGAGCACCCGGAGGAAACCTATTTAGACACGGGTAGAACTTGCAAACTCCACTCAGAAAGAGTGAGTCATGGGGATAGAAAAAAAGTTTATCTGACTGCATAGAAGAAGAAGATGAAGAAACTGCAGAAGAATCTTTGAAATCACTTTACAATATCTTATTGAAATTTGGAGTAGAAAATAAAATAAATACCAATAAAGTTTAAGTAATGTATGCATTGTGACAGTATTGGGGACAGTCAAGTAGCTGAAGTGCCCTAATACAATGGCCATGTGTCCAGTCAGAGTAAATCAAGAAGCATATATGTTTTCTCCAGATCTTTGCCGGAGGATAATCCTGCACATTTTAAACCAACAGTTTAGTGAAATTGAGAAATGGTGTGCGCATCAATAATCCATGCTGAGTCTATATGTGGCAAGGGCCATTGCAGCAGAGGGCTCGGAGTGGGAACAGGTAAAATATTCACATGTTGTGTTGTTCTGGCCCGGTGGAGCAGACTTTCCGAAGCCCACGCCTCTCTGCTCCTCTCTGTTTCTGACAGATATCTATTAAAAGCTGCTGCTGACGTCAAAACGTGTCGGCCATCTTTGAGGAGAGCTGCACTGCCCCCCTCCCTCCCTCCTCCATTGAAGAAGAGCCGAGGAGGAACCAGGCGACGCACAGTGCCTTTGCAGCATCCCACTCACCATACAGGCAGAGGCTAACGCTAAAAGCCACGAGATACGAGAGTTTCTCCGCGATTGGACTGCGGGACTCCCAGCACAGGCACAGGTAAGACCAGAGGCTTCACTGGGGCTAATTACTGCCGCTTCATGCGCTCTGGACGCTTGACACACGTGGCTCGTTTGCAGACCGTGACTTGTTGGACTGTGCATTTGGATTCACAAGCGTTTTGAATGGAATATTTTTTTAGGTTTATTTCTTTAAAGGACAGCGGTGCATGACCTCGCAGGGAGAATATGTCTGTAAGATGGTTGGGGCTTTGGAGAGGGAGGATGGATGCTCTGCACTACAATGCGCATCTTCTCTGTGGGCGTTTTCAACGTACAGCACCTTGGAGAGCGCTCGACGCTTTCTCCTGTGTGTGATGGCAAACAGTATGTGGAGAAGACACAGACACCGCATAGGAGCCCAAACAGCGTTTACAGAACGGCTATGGCTTTGTCCCCTCTCTGTAAATTGGGGTGTTGTCGTTTGTTTCAAATAGGTCCGATTATTTGAACCGACGCACATTTAGGGTAGAAACCATGGATCTATAGGTAGAAACAGTAACGTGTGCGTTGCCTGTGCGTGTGTTTACGTGGCAGGTCGTGTCTGGCAGCGCAGGGTGGTTCGATTAAGGGCGGGTTCGGAAATTTCATTGCAGTAGACTTGATGGAGAGCGTGTCATACAGACTAATAGTAAACTGCGCCACGAGTGGGAGGGGTGCAGGCAGCCCCTATAAACAGCACGGGGGGGACCGCCTTTCGATTCGGAGAATGAGGGTTTTGCTCTATTGCATAAACGCAGTCTCTTTGCCTGTTCATGTGTGATGCATGCGCACAGCGGGGGGCCCTTGTGTACGGAGGATGGAGCAGACGTGGTGATGGTGAAACCCGCACTATGACACCCAGTCACCCCCACCCTTCACGCGCACCTCGACACCTCCTCTTGGTCTCTGTAGCGACGCACACTTTCCCATTGAGTCGTGGATGGCACGCTCCTCTCCATTACGCGTGGCGCACGTTGTGCTAAATTGGCACCATTATGGCTTTGAAGCGAGCGTTTTGTGTGGCGTAGGATCAACATTATGAAAGAAATGCTAATCATGCAGCATCATCTGCGTCAAGACAAAAGCAGTGGCCTACTTTTGAGATTCAAGTGTTGACTGTACCCGCAGACTTAATATGGCGCATTCATCTATAGTTGTGGAACTAGGCCACATCTTGATGGCTGCATTTCATGATACGTTTATAGGTGGGGAATTGTGGGCCTATTATTCAAAACAGAGAGATGATCATTTTGGTAGCCTCCTGTCAGAACTAAGAAGAAGAAAAATGGCAAAAGCATGACCCAGAACCAATGTATTTAAAACATCTGGATGTGTATTAACTACTCAACACAATACAGAAAACAACATTGTTAAAATACTTTAACCCTGCATTGTAACTGTTAATTTATGCATATTTTATACACAGCATACAACTTTGTAAACTCCTATGGTTATTTAAAGCAATTCCAAATAACATTGGTTGTCATTGTTGGACCATTGAACACAAAAGGAAGTGAGCTGAATATCCAAAATGACATATGGAGGAAGACTGACGCACAATTTTGGGTCCTTCGTTGATTTAATATTCACAAGTTGCAACTGGACATAATATGAGATTTGAGCAAATGGAAACCAAGCAGATTGATAAGAGTCTTCTTAAATGCTTCTAAAGTTTTTCTTTCATGTACATTAATCCAAATAACAATAGGCTTGCAAGATCTAATGTATTGTGACATGTTTTTTTACTATACACTTGCAGTGAGTCCAGGACAAAGCGGATGGATTTCAATACCGAGAAGTGAGGCTTTCAGTTGTGATTAATGCCGTGACGTCTCATATCGATTACCAAAGGACTTAGATTACACGTTCGAGAAGATGCTCAAATATGACGCAGAATCAAATCATAAAAGGGGCTGGATACGAAGTGGCCATGTGAATCTATTGTTGTCTCGAGCATGAGCAGCAGTGACCTTGACGGCTGCACGCAGATATAAGCGGTCTGTGTTTGTCTGACAGCTGTGTGCGAACGACAGTGGCAGCTCACGGCCCACAGCGTGAACCCGGGCGAGACCCGCAGGGCGAGCCGTGCCACGAGCTGCCTGGACCGATCTCGCTCTGTGCCCTGCCCCGTTCTGACTGTAGAGGCGAGAGGGAGAGACGAGGAGGGGGTGGGGAGGGGTTGGCCTGAGGCTGGAGGTTTCTATACATGTATCACTTCTGCTGGAGACATGTGCATTTGCTTGTTAGATGTTATTGCTGCCATTTCAGGTCATAAGGTGTCATATTGTATCTATATATCAGCAAATCTAGATTAAGACTATGCAATATACTCTTGCTCATTCCCATGCTAATTCATGCCATGGTTTCTCCCATGCTAATTCATGCCATGGTTGATCAATTCATGCCATGGTTTCTCTCATGCCGTCATCAACTCCTAATCAGTCAATGAAACTTCAAGTGATGGGCAATCAATCCAATTTTTATCAGTTTTAAAGTGTAAATTAAATCTGGTCTAAATCAGTGACTCTCTAAACTCAATCACGCAAACGCTGACTCAGAAATCAAGAAGGATTAGGTCTAAACCTGGACTCAGGCAGACCAATCCAAGAATACATCATGAGTAAATCATATGGAGCCAAACAGATGGAGAGACCTGCAGGCCAAGTCAGAAATGCTACTATTACATCCAGGACAATTACTTTTGCATTCAGGAACAGTTACTTAAAACATTGTGGTGGTGCATTTCATCATACCATTTAAGATTCAAAGGGCATGACACTACTGAAAAATGAATGACAAAAAACAAACAGGAAGATCTATGTTGTTTTCAAAGTACAATATAATGTCTGTTACATACTATGTGTTTAAACAGATGTGTGACTTTATGAGGACTACTGCATTTTCTTCTGAAGTGAGCCGAGTCCAGTAGATCAATACATGTGAAAGTACCCTAAATCAGTGTTATATGAGGACTACAAATCTACTGTAAACTGGAATATGAAGTAACTTATTTGAACTCGAATAGCCTGTGCCACCTGTGTTACTGGCCCAGCACCACAGGACTGGGCTCCACAGACGGACTGGAGGGCACACGGTGACTCACGCTGCTGTCACTGCTCCATTGTTCACACAAACACTCTGCTTTTGTTCTAGAGCTGCACTAATCACACTACTGTATCTCTAATGCTGAAGTGTCTTAGGCAGCACAGGTGCAGACTCTTCCATAGGACTCAGCCAGTTCTTTGTGCACCGGCCCTGTTCAAATACAAAGTAGATCATAATATTATGGTTGAAGTGGACCCTCATTTGCACGCACTGGGTTGCCACAACATTTGTTTTTATTATATACTTAGGAAATGGCAGCTTAAACAATGTCTTGCATCTCAAATAGAAAGACCTGTTTGGATAGCTTCTGTCTGTAAAACTACTGTTGTTGATATGTATACATTTATAAACGCTATCAACATTCCCCAAATTTAGACCTTAGCTTTTACTTCCCAGACAAAGCTTTGTTTTGCTGAATGAGCCAACCAGTTAACCGACCATACTAAGCCTCCTCTGTATCTTTCTGACAAGTAACAAGTAACAAGTAACATAAAATCAAGAAATTCTGTAAATACTCAAGAAAAGTCTATTTGAAAGGAACTGACCTCATGCAGCATTGAATATTTCTAATTTTTCTGCAGTAGAAATATTTGTTTAGCCTGGCCTTAGCCATTTGTAAACTCCAGTCAGTTATTGTATCCCTAAATGAAATGAGTACGATGGTGTGGTAAGACCAGGCTAATATTGGTTGGAATAACACAGCTTTTTTGTATTGTTTTGTTCGACCTTATATTAATATTCCAAGACTTCAGACCTTGCAGCATACAGGTGTGTCCCATGTAAACGATTCATGAGCCTATCAATCTGTCGGCTTCTTTGATGCTCGAGCCGTGGCGTTTCATCTGTTCAACTAAATAAAGCGTTTGAAGATTGCAAATCTCTTCTTATCTAGTGTCTGATGCTCGGGTCTTTGTTTGAGTGACAACTAAAAGTAAAACTTATTGGTTTAGTGCTTTTCTTAATGCTCTATATCTAGCAATGTGTCTTCATGGGGCCATCTGTCCTCTCCTATTGGATTATTGCCTCTTTTGATCACTGAAGGAGGGAGAATGGGCCCAGCGCTGAGGACAGAGACGACTGAGTGGCTGCCATGTTGAATCAATGCAAGCAAGAATACTTCAATGAAACACAGCAGACGCCAAAGCAGCTAAGAATAGACAGTCTCCACTTAAAAAATGGGATATTTTTATGTAAAATTCTCTGATTGACTGGTGCTCAAAAAAGCATTTCAAACAAAAATATGCATAGGATATTTTCACAATGGATTAAGAAAGATAGTGTAATCAAAGCTAATTGGTGTTCTAGGCTGACATGAACACAGATAGACTTTCATTAGAACAATCTTACTCTTATTGTGGTCATCTAGACTTTTAAAACTTGAGTACCTACCTTTTTCATGAATGATACATCCTATAAAATGTTTTCTTTCTCTTTTTCTCGCATTGAACGGTGGCTGAGTGGATAGCACTCTTGTTTCTCAGCAATAAGGTCCTGGGTTTGAATCCCAGTCGTAACGGGGCCTTTCTGAGTGGAGTTTGCATGATCTCCCTGTGTTTGCGTAGGTTTCCTCCGGGTACTCCAGTTTCCCCTACCACTAAAACATGCACAATAGGTCTGGCATGTGCCTCCTGTACTGGCGACCCCGCACCCATCTCTGTGGAGTGAGAGACAAATGCCCACAATTGTAAAACCGCTTTGTGACTCTGGTCTGTGAAAGACAGTATATAAATAAATATTACTTACTTACTTACTTACACAGTGGGGCGGCTGTAAAGTGCCAAACTGCTGTTTTGAATGAGTCTAGTGTGTGTGTGAATGGTTGGTGGTGGTCAGAGGGGCTGATGCAACATTCTGATTGCCGCGCTTATGTCAGTGTGCCACAGGGCAGCTCTGGCTACAGTAGAAGTTTTTCAC